TCTCTAGTCAAAGAAAGGGCTGCTCTGCTTCCAGGTGCTTTGCTCATTTTGCAAGCTCTCCCAATACCACTTCATCCACTCAGGAGCAGGCATTGGCAGTGCTTCCTTCTTTCTTTCAGCTCAGGACAATGACTTCAGTCCTACACCTTCCCACATATCCTTTTTTTGGCTGAAATATGATGCTTTAAATCTTATAAATATTATTTATAAGTCAAGGCTTTGAGCATCAATGTGTGTCTCCTGACAGGCCTCAAGGATGAGGGCAAAATATGAAAACTCACCAGGTCTCAGTGAGGACAGTGAGATGGAAAAGGAGATGAAAAGTACTCCAAGAGTCTCCTACTCGCCTCTCTCCATTCTTTTTTTCCCACCTCCTTCCTCATGAGCAAGCAAGCCAGGCTAGGCACCACAGTGCCGAGCCAGCCTTCCAGGCGGCACCAGTGAGAGCTGCTCTGCTGGGAGATGAGCCTGCTTTGCCAAAACCTAAAGCTTGCTCAGGGAGATGCAGCACAAGCTGGCATCACCCCAGTTACTGCAGGGAATAGGAAAAATTTAGGCAGCTGCTTCACTGAAATAAAAAAATACAAATGCTCCTTGTGGGTCCCTACCTGTCTACTTTGCTAATTGAAGGATGCTTACAAACCAGCTTAGTTTTATATCTTGCTTGAAGAGAATCAAATTCTGCAGACTTTGTATCAGATTTCTGATAGAAAAGTGAGAAGGTTTTGCCAGAGGAATGACTTTTGCCTAGCCACTGCAGAAGTTACCAGAGGTCTTGTCACTGCCTGATCCCATCTACAAGCACCAAGTGCTCCCATGTGAGCCCCCTTGGAGCCAGCACAAGGGCTGGGACCTTGGCTCAGGCTCCCGAGGCAGAGCCCACCAAGGTACTCAACTAAAGCATTTTTATTTTTATTATTTACATTTCCCCCTCCCCTTCAACAGTGGGAATTTATTACATTGGCTCTGCAGATCTGCTTTCTATAGCAGTCTGATCTGCTGACTAGAGCCAAGCACCTCATCACATCCTCTTCCTTATCAGCGCCAATGGGGAAGTTATCCCTCTGGACAATATGTTCCTGGTGCAGGAAGCTGATATTCAGTCACCTTTGACATCCCAGAACATGCACTGGCATTTCCAATATCATTGTAAATGGCCTCTCATATCTCATGCTCACTACTGATAGCTGAGAATGAAATTAGATCAAAAAAGGTGTTGTCACAGAGGTCTCAGTTTTGGAGCATTTGTGACACCTTGCTATCATATTAAGTTAGGGTTTTTATCTGTGGATATTTTGGAGGAGTAATTCCATTTCACTGCCAGAAGCAAAGTATGTAGTTACCAAGTGGAATCCAGCCCTATTCCCATTGATTCATTAGGATTTATTCACATCCCTGTCAGATTTGGAAACCACAGGCAGCTTAGTTTTCTGTGTTTGTATCTATGAGACATCACTCAGCACTGTGAATTCATAGCCAAATCAGTTAAAGTGCACACAGACCCCTTTGTTTGTTTAGCTCAATAAATTTACGTCATTGCCTCAAAAAATGTAGCTCTAACACTTTGCTTGCTAAAGAAAAATATATTTAAGACCTGCACTCTATCCATAAACAAGTTTTAAAGGTCATGTTTTTTGGACAAATCGGATTATTTCAATATATAGTCTTCTTTTGTAAGCTTTTTAAGACTACGGTATTTCAAAACATCAGGAACTCATGCACCATGCTTATTAATTTCCACTGGCTTATGTCTCACAGTATTACTCTGCACTAATAAGCAGGTTCAAAAGAGCCAAGGCCATTGAGGAAAACATTCAGTTGTAGAAATCTGAGACTAGGAAGGAGAGGCACTTGCTGGAATTACAGTACTGGAAGATCATTATCATTCGAGGCATTTAGTTAATGCGTTATTACTTTAGTCACTTATTAAATTTGAAAATCAAATAACAAACTGACTGTAGTGTCTGCCACCCAACAGGTACATCTGACTAGCATATCGGGGACCCCACCAGGAGCTGCGGCAAATCCACCTATTTTTATGGAAAGAGTGCCATCGTGTGGGAGCATCCTTGCAGCACGCAGGGACAGCAGCCCCGTGTGCCTGCTTGCGAGGAACCTCCCTTCCTCCTTTGTTTTTCCTGGAATTTCTATAAAAGAGCAGTTTTCATTTCTGAAAATGAGCGGCAAAGATAGAAAATTTCTTAACTAGAATCAAATTCTGCAGACTTTGTATCTTTCTCTGCATGTCATTAATATCGTTAGATATTAGTGCTCTTATCATTTCTCTCAATATATATTTTATGCTTCAACATCTGTTTGCAGCTGCACATTTACAAGGCTTCATTATAAGCTTTCCACTTCTATAGCTCTCCCATGTAATGATACCATCACTATCCCAAATTTCTACTTCTATTTTTTATGTTTTCCTTTAAAGAATTGAACTTATAAGTTACATCCATAAAGAAAATTGCCAATAATTATCAGGGGTACAATTAGGAATAAATCTCCGTTAAGGAACAAGCCAAAGCTCAGTATCTTTATGCAAATGTCTTTTGTTAAAAAGATGTCTTGTGTAATCAGGAATTATACTGACAAGTGAAGAATCATTTAATTAATGAGAATAGAGCAATCATTTGGATGGTTCTTTCTATTCCTGACTGAATAAAAGAGAGAAAATGGCCCTGCTCAGGGATTAGATCCACTGCGGGAAGAAATAAAACCCATGGATGTTGTTTTGTTACTGCCTTGGGAAGATAGTACACATATGCTTGGATTAAGCATTGAAAATTAATTTTCTATTACTCCACAAGAATTTTTACAAAAGGGCTCTGGTTTTGCTGGCTTTCTGCTCCTGCTAACCACTCAGGATGGAATATCTGGGCCAAAATACTTGCCTAAATCCTAGTACAGGATTCCAGGGCAGTGAGAACCAGAATTATGGCGAGTTCTTTCCATAAGGACTGTATGCCATGATCCAGGGTAGTGTATGGACCCCATTTGCAGTTGCAGAGGAGTAATCTGGTCTCCAGTTCAGCCCTTTGTTTGGAGCAGGTCAATTTGCTCTGGGTCTTTCCCACTGGGTCTTTGAATTTCACCAGGGGTGGTGATGCCATAAATTTTCTGTTCCACTGTTTAACCTCTTTGATTCTTCTCTTATCTGGTCAGAATTTTTTATCTTCCAGTTTATCCCAGTTGCATCTCCTCCTGTCACTGCGTCTCTACACACTCCCAACAGGCAGCTGCAGGCAGCAGTGGCAGCAGTCCTGCCTGCGGTGCCATCCCTCCAAACCTCAAGTGAACATGGTTGGTTCATAACAGCTATTCAGTCTCTTGCAACAAACCAGATTATCCTCCCACCCTTGAGAGATCCCTACTCCATCAGAAAGCTTCAGGATAAGGCTTCTCTAAGTTGTCTCTGGGTTTGGGAGAAGTCAAAATGTAGTCCAGGCAACTCTGACCTTGAGTACCTTTACCCAGGGTGGAACCTTTAGCAATGTACTGCACAGAATTTGTCCCACTTCTTACAAACTCAAAGCTACATGAACAAGGTGGTTCTGGCATCCCTAAGGACATGTGTATCACCTGTAATCTGTTCCTTTAGGGCTCTGTTCCCTCTGGGACAGCACAGGGGTGAAGAAGCTGTGTCCCTCTGAACAGGTCATGATCCCAGCCACCAGACATACTACAAGGTGGGAAGTGAGAGCTCCCTCCAGACCTGTGCTGGGATTTCAGTCACTGGTGGCTCTGTCAAGCTTCTCATTCCTGGCAAGACCACAGCACAGATATGTGGCCATTTGGATGTGCCATATCAAATTAAGTGGCCTTGTGGACACAGCTACCTGTTGAAGCAGCATCAGAGACTGAGTCGCCTCTGCACAGAGCAGCTGCCCTGTGGGCCCCAGGTACATTCAAGCTCCCTTTCGAGGCTGATGTAGATCACTGCACTGAGCTGTTGTGGTAGCCCTGAGACAGTGGGAAAGCTTTCCTTCTTCCTGCAGCGCACTACAGTTTCTCTGTAGCAAGATCCCAGACCTCTGCTGGTTTGTGTGCACTTGAACATTTTTGCATGCTGTGTCAAATGATTGCAATAGTAATTGTTTGCCTTCCAACACTGAAATAAAAAACAAATTTATTACATGAAGAAAAACCTTTCCACTTTTCTATTCTTTTTAGGTGTAATCATTTAATTTTTTATCTTGGATAACCAGAGGCACCCAGCTGTTACTGTAGTCATTTCTGGATGCTTTAAAAAAAAAAACCTCTCTCCTCATAAATAAATAGAGTAAATATGAAAATATTCTTCCAACCAAAATTCTCATTTCTCAAATATTTCATCCCACAGGAAGTGTAGTTAAATATGTTGTCCTTGCAAGCTGCCCAGAAAATATCTGGCAGCAGGTTGGGTATGTAGGTCCAAGGACAAGTGAACCTGTGGTCCTGTGGAACCACTTATCATCTGGTTGCATTCTGACATTAAGCAAGACTGCTTTAGGTCATCACTGACTGCAGTAAGATGGTTTTGCTGTCTCTCCAAAGCAGAAAATATAGGTAACCCAATAAAGATCAGTTTACAACAGTGTCGTGTGTAACGTGGTAAGTCCAAAATGTATATTCCTTCTGATTTTTTTAATTGAAATGTCTCTCCTCCAATGATTTGGATGTAAAATATTGTCAGATATCTAATGGACTATGAAAGTCAGTTGACCTAGATTAGTAAAATCCAATTGAGAAAACAGAGTATATGAAGTAAAGCATCTTCATTGAGTTTGTTAAAAGAACGAAAGAGAGATTTGTGTTTGCTTTGCTGTATCTGAATATGCTCAGCCTAACAGGCAAGCCCATACCCAAGCTTTCTTTTCTGGCTAAATCGCTCTGTGCAGGTTCATCTGCTGCTTGGCTTTCCAAGACAGGTGGGAAGGTTGCAGGCAGTCAGATTTACACCCTCACTCTCAGGTGCTGCTGCCCCACTGTAACCCCTGACTCTGTGCTTTCTCCCCAAGGATTTTGGAGCTGCAGCAGAATGGCGACATGGACGTACTGAAGCATAAGTGGTGGCCGAAGAACGGTCAGTGTGATCTTTACTCATCTGTGGATACCAAACAGAAAGGAGGTGCCCTGGACATAAAAAGTTTTGCAGGTGTTTTCTGCATCCTCGCTGCAGGGATTGTCCTATCCTGTTTCATTGCAATGTTGGAAACGTGGTGGAATAAAAGGAAAGGCTCCCGGGTTCCATCAAAAGAGGTATTAGACCCTCCATTTCTCCTGGGGAATTTTCATGCACCCTAAAGATTGCTGCCTTGACTTTATAGCACTAGAGAGGGTGGGAAATTCAGAGATACTTCATTAGTGTCCTGATTTTTTAACATAAATAATGTTCCTTAAAAATCTTTCTAGGTATTCTTTCTAGAAAAGGTTGAATAAAAATAAATGTATATTGATGATGTATAAATATGCAACTATTCTGAGTAAAACACAATTGTTACTTGTAGAATAGTACATTATTAATACATCAATATTCAGTTCATTATTCCCATTGGTGACAGCTAATTCTCACTAGATGTCTTGGCTTCTTCTTGAAAAATACGTCCCCTAAGCTCAGTGGCTGAGTCTTTTAAAATACATTTGCAAAATTTACTCCTTTAATCAGCTGTTAGCTTCTTGAATAAGCTTGTCCCCAATTTCAGAAACATTAAGCTCTTGAGACTTCCATGAACTTCAGTTCTTGTTATTTTATCTGAAGTACAGGGAAGCAAGACTACATTAGATTTTTCAGGTTCAGGCCAGACATATTTTTGAAACCTGGTACAGGCTTGTTTCAGAAAATCTTGTACAGATGCCACAGAGAAATATGTTATTTTACACCTGAGATGAGTATGCTTCTACACCTGCATGTGTAATGCTTTCCTTCCTGTGGTAATCTACCTTTCCCTCTACCAGCCATCTGAGCCTTGTGCAACTTTGCACCAAATTTCTTATATTCATAATCAAGTTTCTACCTCTACAAAATGCTAAAAAGAAATTAGGGACAAAATGATTTATTAAAATATCCTTGGAAGCAACACGCAAACCTGAACCTAAAGGAGAGCTTTAATGTAGCACTATTAAATATAGCTTTTCTGTCTGTGTAGCTTAGGCACATCTGTGTAGCTTGTGGGGTATTGATGTTAATTTGTGTGGAGTGGTCTTGCCTTCTTTGCAGTTTCACCATTGTGTTTATTTCTGCTAATCTAATGCTGTCTAATCAGGCAGGATTAATTACACCACCTCATTAGACAACATTGGCACTGATGTTAAAATACATTTAATCTTTTCTTGCCTGTTTTAATTCCCAAGTTTTTTTCTTTTTTTTTCTTTTTTTTTTTTTCTTTTTTGTTCAAGATCTGGACCGGACCATTATTAAAAGGAAAAAAAAAAAGGAATCTCTAGTCTTTAAATTTGGTTTCTCAGGAATGGAAACCATGTAGTTTCACCTGGTAAATTATTTTAAAAACCTAACATTTACTTGATTATTGTTTACCCAAAGATTCAGAACTTCATACTTTATATTTATCTGGTGCAAAACATGAAAACCAGTAACAAGGAAAAGAAAAAAAACACCAACACAGATATTTTACACAAATATAAATTTTTTTATTTCAATTTTCAAATGCTGAGAAATTCAAGTGTGTACTTTCCACAAATGGTATAATTTGGCCTCCTTGATCTTTATTATATGGTCATTAGCTTAGCATTGAAACGCTTATCTCAACGTTAAATTGAAAAGCTTGGCTCAAAACTGAGTTTAACGTGGACGTATATGCTGAATGCCCCCATTATCCTGGATGTGGGGGTCATCCAGCAAAGAAATACATCTTAACTAACTTTCTTGAAATTCATTTTAGCTTCCATGAAATCCATTGGCTCTTCCAGGCCACTAGTCCAGAATCGGGGGTCAGATTGGGCCAGTTTGTGGTCAGCAAGCCAACCCTTTTTCCTGGTGGCTGCCATCTTGTGCTCCAGAATGCAAGCATTTATACTGAAAAAAAATTGTCTAATGGTTGCGAAGATAACATTTCGGTCGCGTGCCAGAAGTAACCCATTCACTGATGTCTGCCTGAGTCTGCAGACAGCCTTAAACAGTAGCTCTGAGAGAAGTATGAACCGCCCCAGTAATCACAATGGGATGTTGACTCTGAAGCCTGATGATAATTTAAATGTGAAAACTGCTGAATATTTCACTACTGATCACACAAGAGAGAAGAGGAAAGATCATATTATGGAGATATGCACAATCTTACTGTGAGTGGGTCTCATTTTGGTGTATCGATTGGGTGGAGATTGGGTTGTGGGCTAAGCATGGGAGATTATCACCGCTTATATATTTTCACTGGTCTGACCCTAGCCCCAAATGCATCTCTGTAAAAGAAAGAGGACTATTTTGAGTTACGCTTAGAGGCTCAGAAACTGAAATTCCAATCTTTTCCCAACTGGCTTTTTAAATTACAAAGTATTTGCATGTTTGTTTTTTTCAAAATTAAAAGCAAACAAACAAAAACTAGAAAAAAAAAAAAGGAAAATATTTAGGACTGTCCCTCAGAGACATAGTCATGACTTGCACACGCTAATCGAGCCTCTGTATATTTCTTTAGCTTCTGATGTGGCCCCACTTCTCCTGCATCCATATGCAGTTCCAAATTTTTTGAGGAGATAGCGTTTGGTGAATGCGTTTGGATTTGATGTCACCTGTGTGGTTGTTATGTGCATCCATGTCTATGTCCACCTGTGAATAAACGATAGACAGAAAGATAAGTCAGAGAAATGAGCACTGCATTTTTTCCTTCCCGTGATGAGCTCCGACCAGAGCCCTCGTGGTCAGTGATCATCCAGTCCCTGGGAGATCCCTGATGCCCTGTTCCCTTCCCCTTTTTCCCTGGTTTTGTCTCCCTGTCCCTGCCCTTGGAGGGTGCAGCCCTGGAGGGAAGCTGGCCTCTCAGTCTCCTTCCAGTCGGGCTCTGTGTTCGGCGTGGTGCCAGCGCAAATGTTCCGTGATCCTTTCTGCTAAGTAGATGAACTCCTGCAGTTTGTTCTAGGTGTGGACTTCATTCTAGGCTTGACTTCATTCCTAGAGAAAGGAGGGATCTCAAGTCCATTTGGTATACTAGGAGTTTTGCCATTGATTCAGGGAGCTCTGGATCAAGCCAGTCAATGAATTTCAGTAATCAAGGCTGGAAGTCATCAATGCACATCTATCGGCTGCCTAATTATCCTCTGTGAGGTCCTAAAGTGTGAGATATTTCTAGTGGCCTGGAAGAGCCAGTAAATTTCACAGAGATTAAGGTAAATTTTGAGGTTAGTTGAAATTGATTTTTGTTCTAAATGAGCTGCACTGCTTAGACTGAGGGAATATCCCTGTACGTGTGTACTTAATGCTGCTTTGAATTAAGCTTTGCAGTTCAGCAGAAATATGTATGTACAACACAGGTGATTTATTGGGTCACCTAGAGCTTTCTCCTCTTTTTTAACTTCTATGCATTCAAATTTTCAATTATAACAAACAAACCTGTTTAACTGTATTCTCTGGGAAGAGAGATTTAAGAACGAAAAGGGATAGAGGTAAGAGAAGCGATGATACAATAACTACTTCAGGCTGCCTTCTCTTCTCACCCACAAAAGTATAATTCCATCAGAATAGATGGAATTTCTTCTTTGTAGGTGAGGAGATAATTAATCCCTCTGTTGGCATTGCAATTTAAAATTGCCTGGTGTACTCCTTTCTGTTCAATGTCAATGAGTCACCAGCGCTTGGGGTTTTTTCTCTGTATGTTCAGCTTTTCTATACCACAATTTACATTATAAAGGCAAAATGGAACCTGAGAAGGTTCTAGCCCTTCCTTAAACCCTGAGACAATGACAAAGATGGCAACCTGATCCCTCAGAGCCTCTCATGTTGACATCCAAATTTAGTTCTCATTGCAGAGTTGAAGAACTGGCATCATTCCAGGCATTTGATATTATGCAGTTTACTTTTATTCAGCTGTTGCTAGTCTAACCCACCTAGCTGCGAGCTTGCCTTTTCCTGGAAAGCTACCTGTGGCGCTTTGGGTTTTGTTGTTTGGATCCAGGGTTTGAAGGTAGCTGTGATGTAAGGGTCTGCCTCATTTTGGCTTTGCCCACCTGGCGTCAGGCGGTGGGGGAGTTCACTGGTGACATCCAGGACACCGTCAGCCAAGAGCCAGCTCTAGTCAGTTGTGCCTTGTGCTCCCTGAGCAGTGCTGATCACCCTGTGAAACTTCAGCCCAGCACAAATGGCGATGGTGAGTGGTGCCTCTTGTTTTTCTCATTCCCCAGGACGACAAGGAGATCGACCTGGAGCACCTCCACAGGCGCGTGAACAGCCTCTGCACAGACGACGACAGTCCCCATAAACAGTTCTCCACCTCATCGATTGACTTGACCCCGCTGGACATTGACACTTTACCCACACGTCAGGCACTGGAGCAAATCAGTGACTTCAGGAACACTCACATCACCACAACCACCTTCATACCAGAGCAGATCCAGACTCTGAGCCGCACGCTGTCTGCTAAAGCCGCCTCGGGATTCTCCTTCGGCAGCGTGCCTGAGCACCGAACTGGCCCTTTCAGGCACAGGGCACCCAACGGAGGCTTTTTCAGAAGCCCCATCAAAACAATGTCATCTATCCCTTACCAACCAACTCCTACCCTGGGCCTGAATATTGGTAGCGACCCAGACCGAGGCACCTCCATCTGAGCATCAGAACAAGTTTCTTCACTGTTTCTTATTTAGGACTCCGTTTGCAAGGAGCAGCTGTAATATTGTGGGACTAACATGGATGTAACCTTTCTTCTTTTCCTTATTTTTTGGTTTTGAGGGTTGTGGTTTGGGGTTTTGGTTGTTTTTTTTATTTGTTTGAGGGTTATTTTCTCTTCAGGGGTTGTTTTGGGCCTTTTTTTCTTTATTTTATTTAAGAATCATAATTATTAGTAGCAACTCTTCCTCCTCCTCTTCTCTGCTTTCACAGTCTGGTCTCTTCTGCCTCCCCTTATTCTCTGTACTACTTGAATCACTTATTCTTTGGTTTATCAACATGTTAGGTTTTGGTTACTTCAGGCCTTTCATATACTTTAAATATAGGAAACAAGCAGTGATTCATGCATAGGAGAACCCTGAGGATTACTTTACAGAAGGGCATTCGCTCCTCCTCCCCCACCGCCTTTTTTTACTATAATTGCAATAACTGAAGTATTTTTCATGTACTCTGCTGCATCCAGTCAGTGCTCCACTGCTCTGTGTCCTTTTAACTGTGGACCAAAGGCAAACCCTGCAGTTTAAAAAATGGAAAATGAAAAAAAAGGCAAAAAGATGAAAAAAAACACAAAAAAAGGAAAGGAAAACAAATAAAGTTCAAAGATCATTCAGGCCCTATAATATAAGAATGCAATTTTGTAGGATTACAAAAAGCCATTACTATGCCAGTAAAGACTACAGTTAAATCTACTTTTGCACTGCAACAGTGCATATGATCTTTATGTGATTGTACATTGTTAAAAATTTTTCTTATGTACAGTAAGCTGTATCATATGGCAGAAGCCTCTGTTGTGTTAAATAAATTAATATCTCATACATATATATATACACACATATACACACATATATGTGTGTGTGTATATATACACATGTATATATAGCTATAAAAATGGCAGCTGTTGCTATCGCAATTAATTTAATAAAGCTTTAGTAAAAATGTGTTGTATACAAGAGAGATGTACAGTGCAGGGTGTCTTTTCATTTAGAAAAGACAGGTTGCTTTAACATTATTCTGACTTGCATCGTTTGCCAACAGAGCATATTTTATACTTTTCTATTAGAGCATCCAGGGCAATTTAACATTTGTACCTAGATGTAACTCCTTTGGTTAGGTTTTGCATTGGCTTTTGAGCATTCTATAAGACTAATCTTGATAATTTTCCTTTTAATAAATTAAACAAATGGAACTCTCTCTTAGATATACCATGTTCATGAACAACTGATATAGCTCTAGAGCAGTTACACATGGATCAAACGTCAATAAATCCTTTTCCAAGTCAGCACAGTTAATCAATACAATAATGGTGTGAGTGGAGGAAAAAAAAAAAAAAGCCCTCAAGATACACAGATGTGGCCTTAATTATAATCATGTATTGTTCTAAGGGAAAAAAATATGAACAGGCACCCAGTTTAACCCTTTCTCTGTTAAGTTAGATTTAGAGGAGATATGTATTTTTTACATTAGTGCCAACTGTATAAAGCAAGAAAAAGAACAGCAGTGAGAGCAAAACCGGTGCCCACTTTGGCACCAGCTTTTTCAAGTAACATTGTTACCTGTTAGATACATAGGAAGAGCTTTCAATTTGTAATCCTTAAACTAAAAACGCAGTTAAGTAGAAAGCAAGCAGTTTATCCTGTGAGTTTTTTCATTTGGTTTTCTTTTTAATGCAACCATACACTTATTTTAATCTAACTCATTATTTGGCTAAGATTAATAGGAATCAGCCTATGTGATTTGCTTTAGGATAAATTAAAAGGTATATTCTTCAGATCTATTCTATTTTGATGCTAATTCTGTTCTGGGGGAGCATCTTGTACTGTCACTGTTTTTTGTACTAAATCTTCAAATATTGTCTACTGTGTAAGGCAGAACGAATTCTTATGTGCAAAAGGCCATTTTGTTTCCAGGGTAGCAAGTGTCTAAAAGCATGCACAACTTGCTTCCCCCTTGTAACATTCATGAACTCATCCACACTTCTGAGTAAAAGAAAAAAGAGAAAAGAAAAAAAAAAAAAAAAAAAAAGAAAATTTCTTTCCAACAAGCTACGTAGGGACATACCAGATGTTGCAGTGATTTTAGCTATTAAAAAATCTGTTAACCATGTACAATATTTAAAATAGGCCTATTTTGATGTGTTGCCTATTATACAGATACACAAAACACTTTTTGGAAGCCTCAGTTACAAGTGGCAGAGCTTTCTGTGTATAATTTGTCTAAATAATTTGTCTAATAAAATTGTTTTCTAAACATGTGCTTCCTCTTGTTCACTTGCTGAATGCTGTGGGATTTTCAGCCTATGGCAAGGTAATGTGGTCATGGATTTGTTGCACTGCTACAGAAGGGTTTTAGCCCATGGAGATGGGATGAGCTCCTCAGGCTGCTGTGAGTCAGCTCAGTGAAGAGCACCTGTGGAAAACACCGAGCTTTACCATATCTATCAATGTCAAGCTTAGATTTCAGAGAGCATTTACAAACAGCATTTTGTAAGCGTAGAGTTGCTTAGCACTGACATGTACAGAACATCATTTTTAGAAATACTGCATGCCAACTTCATCTGTTTTAGTATAATGTAGGAATTTTCTTGGAGCATGGCTTTTATTTTTATAGAATCACATTTGCCATCTTTATTTGCACAGAGGTTAATTTTCTCTGATACTGGACATATATTGCCTAAAACAAAAGTTTTAGGGTGAGAGAAGGTAGGCCATATTTCATTTATTATGGCTTTCTCAGTCTTTAAGTTTCATTAACATTTTAAACTAATGACCTAGTCATTAGCAAGCTGTGCTGCAATAAGATCAGCCATGACATTTTAACTTGCAGCATCCAAAGTTTATCTCCTGGCTTTTTACATTCAGTGTATTTTATTCACTTAAATAATACTCCTGACCTGTTACAATTTTCTATTAATCTTAGCAGGCATTCAGGGGATCATTCACCTAAACAGAGGCAACATTATAGTCCCAAGCAGGGGAGACTTTTTAAGATCTGGGTTTACTCTCATTACCCTACTTTGATCTGACTGGACATAAATTATATTTATCTTCCCCTGAGTCAGGGACTGTGTCCCTGTCCCATTTACAGACACACCTCTCTAGAGCCAGGTAGTTTTACAGATATGACAGATGTACATTCTATAATGGACTACATCATGGTGAACCCTACGTGACACTTCCCTTTCTTTACAACAAATTCCAGGGAAGTGATAGTGTCAGGGGTTTCTGCTGCAGTAGCTCCACTGGAGATACAAGCCAGCTGTTTATAAAGATGAGCTGTTTGCATGGTATCTGCAGTTTTATGACCTTTTTCAGATACCAGCTACAAACAAAAAGTGAATAGTGGAAGAAAACATGTTTATCTGATTTCAAAGAATCACCTAGAAAGCTGTTTCTATTGACCAGCAGTGAATACCTGGAGATAAATAGTTCTGCTGAGCCAACCAAGTGAATGATTGCAGCCCTGAGGGACACAGCTGCAGCACAACCAGTGCCAAAGTCCCCCGTGATTCTCTCTTGACCTCACCAAAATAAGTGCTAGGATTGTTTCCCTGAACAAATCAGATTTTTCAGAGTATCTTTTTCTCTTTCTTTCCTACTTACATCGAATGCTATGAATTGATGAGAGCATCCTTTCTGTGAACACTTGCTGGGTCATTGCAGCTAACTGGAGGTTAATGCCCCCCAGAATTAATTAATTTCTTAATTAATTAATTCAGAGTTAATTTCTTAACTCTGCTCAAAGCTGATGACATGAAAAGTAAACCAGCTCCCTTTGTGCATGCTCGTGGCTGTAGCTAACAAAAAAAAAGTCTCCAAAACAAAAAAGGCATCACACCAACAATCCCCTTCTTTAACCATTTTTCTCAGTGCTAATTAATGCTTCCTCTTATCTCTGCAGAGCTGTTTTGAAATAAATGTCAAAACCAAGTCTCTCCCCCTTAATATGAGTCACAAACAAAATTTTTGATAAACACTGGGACACGAACACATGTACCCATGTGTCACATCAACAGCAGTAAGCAACTGTAAAGACATCGTCACAATCTATCAGTTTGTTATATCTCACCCAAGGCATCATTCATGAGGTCAGAAATAGAAGCCTCCAAAAGAAGGTCAGAGCAAGGGAACTGATTCATAGCTTAACAAATTCCGAAACATAGAAATTTTACCAATGCCTCAACATTTCAGGAACCAAGAGCTTAATTTAAAAAGAAAATGCTTTTCAAGAGGTGTACTTATAAAAATAAATATAATACTTGTCAAGAGTTACAAAATCTGTGCCCTCCCCAGTCCCATTCATCACAATGGTGTAATACTTTGTGCATACTACAGAATTGATTTCTGCAACATCACAGCTGGAAAACTAAATGGTTGAGTCATTAACTACTGTCCTCTATGTCACACCAGTTCACTTCTGTAAGGGGAAAAACAAATTTTTCTGGGCTCATTAACTGCCATACCAGTGGGAAAAGACAGCGACCTGCAGCTCAGCAAGCACACGACACTCCTCCACCATGACATCACAGTTCAGTGCTTCTATAGCTAATTATTCCTACCAGCACTAGTAAGGCCAACATTTCTTTCAGTGCATGATAATTTTTACTCTTTCTCAAAAAAAAAAAAAAAAAAAAAAAAAGAGTAAACATTTGTGTCCCATTCTTTGTTCTAAGGGGATGATGGACCAACACAAGATGGGATAAGGGAGCGCTGCCCAGTGCCAAAACAAAAGTTAACAACGGCTTTATTTGCAAATCCAGCTATTAAAAGGCTGAATAAATCAAATAAAAATAAAGAGTTAAAAGGCAAGCCCATTATTTAATTAATTGTTTTGGCGCTGCATGAGACAGTCATCAAGTTCCTGAAGTAACCACCCAGCTGCAGGTGCTTCCATAGGATGGTCTCCTGGCCCCTGAAGCATCTGAGGTGGCAGTAAATAAATGAGAGCTTTTGAGGTTTGTGTGGCCAGATTTTGGCAGTGCTGGGGGGAGCGCTGCAAGGATGGCTTCTGTGAGAAGCTGCCCAAGGCTTCCTCCATGTCCCAGAGACCCCATGACAGCCAGCTCCACGAGGGACCTGCCACTGCTCAAGACAACTGATGGTGTTAGTTATTAAGGGACAACAGAGTTAATAAGGGGGAAATGTTACTGCCCAGGAGCAGTTGCCACTGGGAGAGAGGGTGAGAGTGGGTGAGAGAAACAGCCCTGCAGACCCACAGTCAGGCAGAAAAAGGGAGAGGAGCCGCTGGAGCAGAGACTCCCCTGCAGCCAGTGGTGAAGTCCATGGTGAGGCAGTTATGCCCCTACAGCCCATGGAGATCCCGGGTGGAGCAGAGATCCACCTGCAGCCCATGGAGAACAGCACAGCAGAGCAGATAAATGCCCAAAGGAATGCTGTGGGAAGCACATGCTGGAGCAGACTCCTGGCAGGTTCTGTCAGGAGAAAGGAAGCATGAAGAGAGGAGCCCACGCTGGAGCAGGTTTGCTGGCAGGACTTGTGACATTGTGAGGGACCCACACTGGACCAGTCTGTTCCTGGGGGACTGCGCAGAAGGCACATGGAAAGGACACAGGCTGGCAGAGTTCATGAAGATGGGAGGGACCCTACACTGAACTAGGGGAAGAGTGTGAGGAGTCCTGCCCGGAGGAGGAAGGAGCAGGAAAGACAATGTGTCATGAACAGAACCCTGCTACTGAGGGGCAGGAAGGTAGAGAAATCAGGAGTAAAATTAAGTCCAGGAAGAAAGGAGGGGTGGAGGGGAGACATTTTAAGACATTTTACTTCTCATTACCCTACTTTGATCTGATTGGACATAAATTTTCTTCCCCTGAGTCAAGTCTGTTTTGCCAATGATGGTAATGGGTGAGTGATTTTCCCCGTCCTTAACCCAACCCCAGAGATTTTAATTATATTTTCTCTCCCCTGTTCAGCTGAGTAAGGGGAGGGATGGAGCAGCTTTGCTGGACACCCAGCACCCAGCCAGGTACAGCCTCTGCGAGGTGCAGCAGGCAGGATTGCTTTCACAGCCCCACAAGTGCCGCATATTACAGCCCCCCAGGTGAGTTCCCAGTGTCCGGCTCTCAGCTGCTGCTCTCTGCTTCAGCTCTTTGTGTGCGCCCCCTCCACCTCCATTGGGACCCCAGCACCTGAGCCCTGGTGGGCTATGAAGAACAGGAGGAGAAAGGAAACAAGGATTTATTTTATGGCAAAAATCTCTCAACACACACACATGCCTAATGTGAGGGTTCACATCTGGTTAAGCGATAGGTCAGCTGAGATTTGCCTGACTTTTCCCTCCTTGTGGGGGAGCAGCAGCAGCAGTTTTGATACACAGAGTGCAGTATCCCAGTCCACCATATTGGTACTCCTGGATTGGAAATATCATACCCTCCTTCCACATATAGGAAAATGCTGCACATGAATCTAATTGTTGTTGCCACTCAAAGAAGGACTCAGAGATGTCACTTACTCCCCTAGATTGCAGAGGGACCCTCTTTTCCCACTTGGCACAGCCAGGAGATCCTGACACAAGCATTTTTACTGGGAGTGAAAAGGTGGTAAATATCATTCAACTGATAGAAACTGAAAAGCATGGCTGGAAAAAAAAACATTAAAAAAAAAAAAAACACTTTTTTGTGTATTGTGTGCTACATTTGCTGCACTCTGCCAGTCTTGCTCATGTCCCTGTCAAGTGCCAGAAAAAAAGAGAAAAAGGAGGAGCGGGCAGCTTTGTGAGTGCATTGTAGCCCTGCCACCGCTGGTAAGCTTGCCTTTCTCCCCCACTGGCCAGGGACATGCTTCTTCACACACACAGTGGGGAGGTCTTGTTTGGTTTTGAATATTCCCTGGATATGAATATTCACTGTGGACCACAGTAAGAGTAATCACAGCTGACCCATGTTGTTACTAATTAATTCTTTTGCTTACACATGGGGAACGGGAGAAAGAAAGCAAATACTGTGAACAAAGCTAATAATGAGGTTACTTGCTACTCCTTCTATCTGACACATTTTTAAGGAATAGTCTCTGCAGCATGACAGCAAACACTGCAAGAAATTGATGTAGTGTAACAGGAAAGCAAGTTACTTTATGAAATAGTGCTCAGGCAACACTGGAATGGTTTGTCTTGCTCTAACTTTTACAGACCTTTCTGAATCGTATCTGCTGTTGCTTGGATTGGTTTTATGTCTCCCCAGGTTTAGGAGACTGCAGATTAAGTTTTCTTACCTGCTCACTGCCAACAGACAGAAT